ATTCTGACATGGGTACCGTCGATGCACCCGATAGCACAGGGAAAACCACCTACTCTGAACAAACCTTGCTTTATTTCGTCTCGTTCTGTACGAGTGCACGGAAAGTTTATGAAATCGCCCAACTTTGCAGTCAAGGCTTTTATCACCCGGCGAACAACTCGGCTGACAGTCGACTTGTCAAATCCCTGAAAAGTGTCACCTACCACCTGAAGAAACGAACCCGAAGCTAAGAATCTGAGGGTGATAAGGACTTGCATTATAGCTGGAACAGCACGGTTGCGATTTGTTTGGGGAGCGATAGCGTCTGAAACAAGGCCAATAATGTACTGTATCGCCTCTCGTCCAAAACGATACCTGGATCTCAATTCAGCGTCTGTGTATGTTCCTAACGGATCGAGTTGGCGGCGATAAATTCTCCTCTTTGTTCGACATTGATTTTCGGGAAAGTTACAGCGAAGAAGATGTAACTGTCGAGCGGCCATTTTATTTGTGTTTATCCGGTGGATAAAAATTTATACTACCTTCCTAACCATGGATAAATTTATCCTCTGGATAGCGAGTGGATAGCGTTATCCATGCTTTCAACAACCGATATGACGCCATGGATAAAATGTACCCGCTGGATAGCGATTTATCCAGCGGATAAAAAGTTATCCATCCTTTGAACAACCGGGGCCTGGTGGATATCTATTAAGTTTCTCCACAGGTTTTCCGGAAGTTGACCCGCTTGGTTTGGCCGACCTCTTCATATAGGACGGCTTCTGTTGCCAAAATTTTCCGGGGTAGACCCGGGTAGACCCCAGAAATTTAAAAGGTGAAGGGTTGAATTCTTCTCTCATCCATAACAAACAGCTCAAAGTGACCAGAATAACGATCGCCGAGCGAACAAAATGGTGTGAAATTGAGAAATATAACAACATGGCGGTTGATCGAACCACATCAACTTTGAGAGTTCATATAACATTCACGGAGCTCCAACGCAGTAGTTTAAAAAAGCCAAAACGACGTACATGTAACTACCTTCGTTTTCCAATAGTCGATTTTCCCAAGAATCACAACAAGTTGCAGGGAATAGACTTTTCTCGAGAAGTCTTCCCTCCGAAGTACACTGTTCTTTACCGCGAAGGCTATTGTTCAAATGGAGCTTACCGATTGGCCGAAATTTGTGACGCACACCGCCTGAGCGAAACCATATACATTCCCAGAATTTAATGATTAGCTGTCTTTAGGAACCATTTTAAAACATGCAGAGTCTGAGCCTTGAGGTGATAATTTCTATACATTAAACAAATCAGCCGATAGAGTAAATCCAATGTCATTCCAATGCATCTACATT